TTGAGTGCGCACGGAGGGCGGCACGGCCCGAAGAACAGCCGCCGGAGGGGAAGCCCCACTCCCACCCTCGGCTCCGTACCCGGCGGGGGCTGTGCCCGCCCTCCCCTTTCCCCGCGAGAAGGAGCGAGGCGGCAGCAGGTGCAGCAGGTCCACCTCCGCGGCCCTGTACGAACCTGAAACGGCGCGAGCGGGACCCAAGCCCTCATCGTAACCCATCGACATCCCCAACACACGCTCCGTATGCCTATACATCAAGCGCGCGCAGCGGGTAACCCCTACAGCTCCCCCACCCACGTTTCCAGCGAGCCCGCGTAGTACACAGATGCTTGCCAAAGGCGCCACCGGCGTTTCAGTTTTGTAGGGAAGAGGAAACACTTCCAGGAATAGGACACTTAAAACTTGGCAACGCACCCGTCCGCCTTTCAGCGCGCCTCTTGTGATTTTGGAGTTGCTGTATCAGGGGATACTTTCTGCACTCTTAAACCACGTACTAAACATACAGTATACAAGAGAGACGGTATACAATATTTAAATCACTGATCTTATTACTACGCACTTCATTAAAAAAATTAGCACTATTGTGAACTTTCCCATTACAACCACTGATTTTAATGTATCTAGTTGCTGATACACATTTTAAATGACAGCTGGTAAGAACTGGCAATTCAACTTGTATCTCAAACACATGGAATTGGTTCCAGCAATGGAAATGGAGCGCTTCTCTTGGATGTGCTTTTAAGAAAAGAAATTCTCAGTAATGACTTAACACGCAACTTGGTTATTGCTAGCAGGGATGGACATTATAAATGTGTAACAAAATGTGAGCTTTTAAGGTAAAAAGAATATTTTCCTGATTATTTTATGATAAAGCTTGCAGAGTTTTCTCTGGAACATATGGATGATCATGAATTTTTTATTTAGCAAATGATACACGAAAAAAGATGACAGCGTAGCTGGAATGCTGCATACACTGTGATAATTGCACGTGCCACTCCACACTTCGAAATAAGTTTAAGCACATTAAAAAGAGCATAAGCTCATATCGCAGATTAAACAAGCCACCAACCTAGTCAGTCTTTGCAAAACTGTTTTGAAGCTTTAGATCAAAATGTGGGCAGGTCCTCTAAAAGGGTTGCTGACTCACCGGCAGGAACGCCAAGGCAATGCCTGCCCACAAGCACGCTCCTCTTTGTTCTCCTTGTCTTTCCCAACTGATCGGTGGCGCAAGCCCTCTGGCTCATTAACCGTGAGTTGGGGTAATTGGAAAAGAACTCAGGGATATCAGGTTTTTCTTTGCCAAGTACCTTATCAGCAGATTCTCCCAATCGCTTTGCATGTCACAGATCCACATCACCGATCCAGTTCAAATAGCAGCTGCACCAGCAAAAATAAAGCAATGTGAAACTGGCAAGGGGCAAGAACAAGCAGGCAGGGTTAGAGAACAGCCATCGTTACCACAAAGAAAAATAAACTCACAATCTCAATGGACTAACAGTGAATACCTAAAAGGTTATATGTAATTTAGTGAATGACGATGAATTCATCTCAACCTCCAGGAGAAAAAAAATAGAAGAAACATGCTTTTATCTTGTCTGTAAGACAGATATGGACATCATGAACGTGGAAAGGTTTCCTAAACACAGGCTACCTAGGCATAGGTTACCTCTTGATTTAATGTTTTTAAGAACAGGTTGGACAAGCACGTCAAGAATATTTTTCACCCTGTCCCGAAGTTACACTTAGGCCAGCATTTCTGCGTTTCCATGAACAATTCAGGAGGTAATTGGTACTACTCAATCCAATAGACTTCATGAGACTGCTGGCCCATGCAGTTCAACATACGCACAGATAATCTGCACTATGCCATAGCATGGTTATGTTACTCTTAAAGTCACTTAATTTGAAGCTGGTTTGTATAGTAATTGAGTGCTTAGCCCTTCAACTCATGTCATAAAATTACAGTGAAAGCCTTTGCATAAACAGGGCAAAATGTTGAAAATACAAGCAGCCTACTGTTGAAAAGTATTTGATTCAAAAAAACACAAATCCACCTAATACCAAGGTATAAATTCTCTCAAGGGGAGCGAAGTCTGGTTAGTTTCCTTTGGCAATAGTAGAAAATTCAATATGCATGATAAGGCTGATGACAAGTAGAACTACAGCTGCTACTGACCAATCTTGCATTCACATTCGTAGTGTTCTCACAGTAAATGTGTTAATGGAAAGCAGCCCATCCTGATAATTCTGTCTTTTCACACATAAATTTATATAGAAATCAAGATTCAGACCATCAATTGAGCAAGTACAACAGAGCTAGGGCACTTTTTCCTGGATCAGACAATCTTACATTGGTAAAGAACTTACACCATGCAATACACATTTTCTGCTTCAATAAATTGTGATTATTTTTTAATTACAATTTTTCTTTTATCTATCCCAGCTACCATGATAGACATGGTAAATAAATCACATTAGACAGTAATACATGTGGTTGAGATACGCGGCAGTGTTTTGCTTTTATTTCAGGAATAACAATGCTAGAACATTCAGGAAAACAGCTCATATAAGAGCAGTTCAGGGGTTTGGAGATACTGGAACTAACACATCACATTTAACAGTCAGTTTTGCTATACTTGGAAAGAATTCTGGTGTTTTGGACATGTGGAACATGAGAAAAGCTACCTACATCTCATGTGCAAAACTTAGATTACACCATAAGAACAACTATGAAATAAAAAAGAATTGTACATTCAGCAGAAAAGACATCAGCATCACCAAAATGAGCCAGGCAGGTAATTCAAATCAAAGTAAACATAAATTTAGCTTAAAGATGCCTTCCATTAATTTTTTTATTTTAATTCCATTTTTTAGTACTTCCTAAAGAGAAGTGTTTTCTGAAAATCTATACTAAAGTGAAGGTGATCATTCCAGTATTACAATTTAGTATTACACTAATTTAAACCAAAGCAAAATGATATTACTTCTGTTGAGTTATTTTAGTAACTTGTAAACAAGTATTCTTCGTTTGTACAAATGGCAATGAGGAATTTTTTACATCAGTATTGTTTGAAAAATAATTGAAGTGCATTCTAAAAATGGATTTTTAGTTGGTTTTAATAGCTTCTATCCTTGATTTCTCAAATTAGACAATTTTATTTTGAGATGGAGATAATTCTCTTTCATAATCAAAAACCTTCACGTGTTGTTTTAAGAATGATTTGGAAAAAAAGACAACATCTTCTATTAAAGGCTAAGATTTGTCAATAGCGCTCTCTTTGTTACGGAAATATCACAGGTTTTTTCCTATTTATTATTATACAGTAATTATTTTTAAGTGCTCATTGTTTCAGCTGAGACTGTTTGGTTGTTGTTATAATCGAGAAACATAACACCATCTCTATTATGAACACTACACCTCTGGGGGAAAAAAAAAAAGCTGAATTTCTTTTATAGAAAGAGAACAACCCTGAGGCATGAAGATTCTATTCTGTTGGTCACGACATTCAAAAGCATTAAGTAAACCAATAAGATACTCGTACATTGTTTCACAGTTTCTGAATTTTGAGCTAAATATATAGATTCATGAGGTATGCACAAGCAGACATTAAGACTTACATACACAAATACTTGGAAACACAAGCCACAGAAAAGGAGAGTTGATCTCATACAAGTAACTCCACGGAATTCCATAGATCTTTCCATACCTTGCACCAGTACAACAAAGCAGTTGGGTTTTTGGATTGTCTCACTGCTATTAAAGCCTGCTAACACATGGATCTAGAATCTGAATTCATGGAGGTATAATGAAGTCATACTGAAGGACAAGAATTTACGTTGGCTTTTTTTTTTTTTTAAAAACAGCTTCATGGGAGTAAAAGGCTACATAGTAAGTATACACAACCTGCTGCCTTCCCCCTTCTTTGTCTTAGTTGTGTCCTATAAAAATCAAGAGCAAAGTTGATGTTAAGTTTATCACACCACAGCATTTTGCTTTCAGGTGCTCTCCCCTCTCCCTGCTTTCAAAATGCCTCTCCAAGCTACTCATACTCACTAAAGACATCTAACCAATGTTAGTCACCTTAGATTAAACAGCATAACATCTTAATCTCCATGTACCGTATAAGGAGAGTTATACTGATCCTTCCAGTTTCTTGTCTTTTCTAATTCATTAGGGGGATTCACATTAGATAATATCTAGTCATTATTATGTGGTTATATTTCTAGCCAAAGGGACAAATTTATAGTAGAAAAATGCCATCTTGATCCTACTGGGGAAAAAAAACCCAAAAACCAAACCAAACCAACAACCCAAACCCCAGCAGAATCTAGGTCCTAATCCTGCAAACATGTAGTTACTCAAAAACAATTCAATAGTATTATTCAGAACATAAGAAAAAACTTGTGAAATGAAACTAAACAAAGCTTCACAAAAATGAACAAAACCTCCACTTTTTTGAACGGTTGGAGTTCCTTGTCCAAAGAAGCGGACGTATAAATAACCACTTCTTAGGAACAACTTCCCTTTTCTCTTCATCTAGTCTTTTTTCTTCACAGATCCCTGGAGAATAAGTGTTAAGTCTCAGCACTCCAAAATAAAAGGGTTGTTTTTTGTTTTTTTGTTTTTTTTTTTTAAGTTAAGATCCCTCCCCCTCCAATATGGAAAGAAAATTTGAAATACATGATAAATAGACTTTCAGATTTTTTTTTTAATTTGTTAAAGCCAATTTCCTGTATTTTCTTCATAAAAATTACTCAGCTTGTGTCCATGGTATTCTTGCCCAAATTTCAAGTTGCTCTAAGCAGGCATTAAATCCAGACTGTCACCCCATATGTCTAGTGTTAATATGGTCACCTTTGCCTCAGAACAGCAAACCTAAGATCTTAAAAAATTAATCAGAGAAACATGATCACTTCTCCAACCAAGGAGGTATTTATAAAACACTTTTGTAACTTCCCTATTTCTCCACTCCCCATCTTTTTAGAGTCCTTCAATTATTGTGGTACATAATAAAGAGGGTCAGGTCAGACCATGCCAGCTCATTGTCTCACACATAATGGCTCCAGCCAACACCCTTACTTCAGATATTTCTCTTTCTGTCAAGCCTCCCATCCCTTCACTATTGCATCAGACCATCTTCCAGTTAATTCATTCAGCTCTCCCTCTGCCAATTTCTCCCTTTGTACTTTCTATGGCAGTCATTTTGCTGTCCTCTGTGCTGTTTTAGACATCAGGAAAAATGCGCTGAAAACACAAGAAGAGAGTCTCATTCCTCATTTCTGTGGCACAGTAGCCAAGAGGAACAATTTCAGATAGACACCAGTTCGGCCCCAGTAGGATTCTGTGACGCACTGGTTTTTCAACTTTTTTCAAATTCTAACCCATTAAAACATTTGTCACTGGAGACAAAGTACTGTGAATTAAAACCTGACAATAGGCTTGAGTATCAAAGGTCTCTTCTGAGTTTCTCAGAAGCAGCTTAAGTTTCTTCCAGTGGGTCTGCGGATCGCAAATTTTGAAAACAGAAGAGGCTTTTAATGAAATGTGTTCCCTAAATTCATTCTCATACACAGATTAATAGTTTTACTGGAAACTTTACAAAATAAAGAGAAAGTCTGGCATACTTTGAGTCCAGAAGAACAGAAGTTTGACAAGTTTTCAAGCAGCTGGAAACAGTTTTGCTAATGAACATCAGGTAATTGTAACTAAAACTTCAATACCAGCTCCACATCTGTGTCAAGCAATGATTAAAGGCAGGTTTTAATGTTTAAATTTTTAAAGGTTATAAGGAAAGATTATTTACATAATTAAATTTGATACTTAATACTACCTTGTCCTTCCCTCAGTGGCAGTGATCACTGTCAACCCTACAACACTGCGTATTACAACATAATAAGCAGAGAGGAGGTTAGTAAGAAGAGCCCATGCTTTGTTTTTTAACCCATTATAAAACTAGAACATCCCACATGGAGTTGTAAACAATTTCATTTACAGAAAAAAATAAAAAGGTGTCCCCACAGGTAAAAAGAAATCCTTTTAGTAAAGACAACAAAGTACTCAAAAATATAGTTATAAAATTTTGGCATGGGTCTACTTGCATGGTCCATGCCAAGAAACTGTATGGAGAGGATGTTTAAGATGGGTAGAAAGGAAAGAATGGGGTAATACAGTTTGTTACAGGATTAAGTAAAATGTTCAGAATTCTCTACATATAGAAACACAGAAAGACATTCTACAGAGCCAGATAGTAAAGAGCAATTCATAATAGCTGGCCACAGTGCACTGAATTCCTTTTTCCTTAGCAGTTGCTTGAGAGATACAGTAGGTAATAGCACTGCCATGCTGCCGGATAATACCAGAATTATGAAATTTATCTATACAGCAATTTCACTGTTAAGAAAACTGCTAATGAAGATCCTAATGAACAAGACGACTTTTACCAGGAGCATACAAAGTAAAGTTACATTGATGCCATAGATATTCTCTCTGTGCTTTAAAATCCTTTTAGTATTTCTAGATTCATTCCACTGGGGAGGAAAGAAAAAAAAATCAAGATAAATCAAATACATACAGAAACACACTCACTCAAATGGCACTCATTGCTTTTTGTACAATTAAGCTTTAGTGAAAATATACATCTTAAAACAAATGAAGTACAAATGTACAAAAATCCTTGAACTCAGATAAAAAATATATATAATACACTTTGCTACAGAGTTATAAAACATTTAAAGTTTGCTCATCCTTTCTGATGAGAGTAAAACGATTTAAAGTCTGGAGGACTCCTGCTCATCATCACTGCAATCAGATTTAAAGCAGACCTGCAAGAGAAGACAAAGAGACAATTCAGCTGCAGAACTATTGTTGGTTTGTGTGTTTTATGGGGTGCAGAAAGGCTGGGGGGTGGCTCTTTTTCCAGCACATTTTACTCCATACTAACTAAATGCTTGGGAATATCAAAGGAAACCACAACCCAACCCCAAATCTCAAGTCATTAAAGTTTCATTTAACCTTAAGATCTTTCCTTCTTTTAACTTCACAGGACAATTAACTGCAGTCTTATTACTTCAAAACCAACTGAAGGCTCTCAAGCCATATTAATTTTTTTAGGACTCTTTCTCAATACATCGAACCATATCTGGGGACAATATGAACCCTGCTGATTCAGCTTGAAAAGACTACAGTAAGACACAAGCTTTAACTTTAGCTATGTGAGATTATTAGTACACTTAACCATTCTTTCTATTCCATTACTGTAAGTGGGGGAAAAGTGAATTTGAAAAGGTGAACTGAAAATGACAGTGCTATTATACATTCCATTAGCATTGTACCATTTTAGAGAGGTGAATTACCAGCTGATGACAAAAAATATCATCATGCAATTTTAATACATGGCCCTGTTGTGGCTACTTAATGATATGCTCCTAGCAATTCTAGAATTCCATTTCTGCTTGAAAGCAAAAGTAATTTCTACAGAAGTGTTCTCTACTGGAATATACTCATGCTTCTCAAGATAATTCTACTCTAAGTGCAGGCATACTGAGCAAGCAGAATTGCGTACAGCATCTTCAACTGAAAACCTTTACAAATAGCCTATTTCTCACAACCTATAAACGAACACAGTATGCCACCTGTCTTTTAGGTGGTAAATACTCAATTCATATACCTCTAAATGTTTACTGAAGAGTAGATGTTACGTGCGTAAGAAAAGGCTGTGCATTATCAGAAGCTATGTAAACATATGTTTACATATTGTTGTTGTTTTGGTAAAGGCATTAAACTTCCTAAGATATTTTAACATTTGTTTCATGACACTTCTTCACACTCACTCATTTAGGGGATATTTTTACTTATTTGCTTAATACACTAGAAGGATTCATTGGGAGCCCAACTTTCTAAAGGAGCGAGTCCTAGGAGTTGCATCGCTCCACCACACTTGCTTCTGAGTTCATTACTTAATTTTATTTAAGTTTTTACAGCGGGGGCCTCAATTATCTCTGAAGTCATCTCCCCAGAAGTTTTTATAAAAACTGGCAAAATGTGTAAGGAGCAAGACCCAAATTAATATCTTTAGGAAAGAAAGATCTATAGCACAAGCTGTTAACAGCACACACTACCTTTTCCCCAGGTAACAGCTAGCAGACACTAGAAGAAGACAGAATGCTGAGGGAGGAAAAACTCCTGGACTTACAGGGATTGCTACAGTTTCTGAAATGTAGTGCAGGGGCAAAGCCATAATAAACCAGATTTCATTAGTTTCAGTATTCAGCAAACAACTTGTTTTTCCTATCACAAAATAATGTAAAAAATTGAATGGACGTTAAGGTCTTACTGGTAATTTTCTTATGAAAGAAAAGAAATACCCTTACCTCTCCACTAAAAAGTCTGTGAAAGAAGCCTCTCTTTGGTTTAGGAGACCTCTCTCTGTCTGGTGACACAGTACCATCAGTTTCATAGGCATTGATATCTTCAAAGCATCCCGTTTCAATCATCTTTGAAACATAGGAAGTATAAATGAAATATCCATACAAGCCTCTCAAACATGTTCCACATATTATATATTTACTTTGGCTGGGTACTCCTAACAACTTACAAATTCATCAGCCAAACTACACCACTCGCAGAGCTCCATGAAGGAAGGCACAACGTTTACATTAACTCTCCTGTGGCGAGTTGTTTGCTGTTCCAGCGAACTAAAGAATAGCAATGAGAGCACTATCATGCAGGTAAGTACTCTCATGCTCCCTTGCTTTGGTAAGGCGTTTCTTCTGCCCATGATGCAATAAGCAGAAGTTTTTAGAACCAGAAATTGATTTTCCTTTCATCTATCCTGCTCATTTCAGAGCAGTCTAGCCTAACAAATATAATATCTCTATACCCTGGACTGAACTTTATTAATAAACATGACATTGAGTAGGATAAAATATTATTTTATGCAGAATACTAGTACCTGCATAGTATTAGGGGGGAATACTTTTTACAAAGGGGATGAATTGCACTCTTGGGGAAAAAGCAGCTGATGTCTGACCACAGTAATTTAAACATCATTCTGGTGCTTTGGGCAACCGTCCATCAAAATACAACAGTATACCATAATTAAAAATAAGGCGATGAGATAGAGAAGGCAATACTTCATGAAAAAAAATAAAAAGATAACGAAGACAGGTCTCTGGAGAGAAGCAAGGGATTTTGAAATAATCCATGTTTGTGAACACAGAAAACAAAAGAATTAAAAATACAATTACCAGATGCAGAAAGGACAGCAGAAAGAGTAAATGCCAAAATGTAACAAACAGGCATGGTCAGAAGGGGGACAGTGGCTAATGCCCACACATAGCTGGCATTTATCTGTGAGTGCCACTGATACACATCTATCATAAAGGGCATGCAACCAAATGAGTATACCTCGTAGAGGGAGAGAGGGCATAAAGAAGAATAAGAAGAAATGCGGTCTGCTTTTGCTGTAAACCATGACATTAGGTAAAGTATGGGAGGGGAGGAGGAATTCTGAAGAGACTGAGAGCAAAGATTTGAGGGAAAGCTCAGTAACTTGAATTAAAAGAAAAAATAAGCACAAATGTAAAATGAAGTCTGCACAGTTATTCCCTGAAGAGAAGGAATTACCATCACCAGAATTCCACAACTACTTTCAACTTTATCCCTCTATGTGGGGTTTGAGTTATTAAGCTGCAGTGCATTTCTTAATGGCTGGATCATATAATGAAGTTCAGAATTACAACACAGCATAGGAAATATTTATTTCTCCAACAGCCTAAGGTTCATTGCTTCTTAGTGAAGACTTTCTATGTCAAATTACACCTTTCAAATCTCCTTCTTAGTGAAATGCAAAAAAAAGCAAAAGGGAAACAAAAGGGAATGTATTTTCTCTGACTTGTTCAGAAATTGCTCATCTTTTGTGTTCAAGCTTTAAATGAAATTAAAAAATCATACTGGGAAAGAAACTACACTAGTAGAATTCAAAATGACTAATTTCAGAAAGTTATCAACATCTTATAATAGGGAGAAGGCATTCATAACAAGAACTACAATTTTAAATAATTGTTAGAGTGCTCTTCCTGAAACAATAAAGAAAATTTGAATTTCCTAAATACAAATTGAACTGCATGCAGAGGTAGCAAAATTCTAGTATTCCATGCAGAGTACTAGAATACTTATTCACTAGGCAGATGAAAAAGCTTTAAGAGAAAATCTGACTCAACCGATGTTGAATTGTTTGTTTTGAAAGCTTAGAAAAGGTGAATCTGCAGTTCTGTGTTACTATGTCACTTGGGTACTCTATTGATATACAGGCATGATACACAAACAGCTTGCAATGCGCCTATTCGCTTTTGAATACTTTGAATAGCATTCTATCCCTCTCCTATGAACAGCAATATTGAATAACGTGATAGAAGAACAAGGAAAATGTGGTTATACTAATGCTAAATACTGTTCTGTAGGCTGTATCTATGATGACAAGACTCCAGATTCTACTTATGCAAATTTAACATAGATCTCAATTTTTAGCAACTTGTTTATGTTTTGGGAAGAACTTTTTTCTGAAGTCTCTCAGCAAAGAAGTCTACAGCAGAAACTTCTTTACATCTCACAGAGAAAGTTAATACTATAATTATATCCCTTATTAAATCTTCTATATTGCTGTGCTAAAGAAAATAATCTTTTATGAAATATACAATACCTCATTTTGCCAAGGGATTGAGACACAACCTGTAACAAATTTGGAATAGAAGTCATCATCTGTAGTATCCAGGTTCACTCCTTTCACTGTTGAGAACTGCTCTATGTCCAGGACATCTTTACAATATACGGCACGTGGCTGCAGTACAATACAAGATTGCTTCATTAAGGTTTTGGGGTTTTTTTTATGTTTGGGTTTTTTTTTTCATTCCTAGATGAGCAAAGGGGGAGCAAAATGTCTGCAGTTTATATTTCACATTGCTTATCACCAAATTACACCATTCTACAAAACAGAAATGCAAAAACTTAAAAGACTCTCTTTATAAGGCACCTGAGCAATTCCATCTGTCCTGCAAGTAACAGAAAAGAAACAACAAAACCAGAAACAGCATGCAACTTCTCTGGATTTCTTAATGGTTTTTATAATTCACTCATCTTCCATCACCCTCCTTTCACAACTCCAGAGTAATTTCTTCAAAGCTAATCTTCATTTGTTCAGCATCTGAGCTAGGGAAGTAGACTTTTAATGGCTAAGAAATCAGCTACAAAGCTTCCTAGAGCAATACCACTATTGTAAATTGTTTTGTGATCTTGGATGAAATGCCACAAAACAACTAGCCATCAATAGCTACAATGGCATTCTCCTGCCAATTTAACTAACTTTAAAGGTTGCTCTGGAGTTCACATGATTGCTGACACAGAATTATGACAGTTCTTGCCTTTTTAGATACTAATCAAATCTGTCTCACCTACTTACATCTGGCAAGAACGGAGGTTCTAACATGTTAGCTTCCAGCCTCTTGAAGTTAATATTCTTGAAAATAGGATGTTGCTTTACAATGGCAGCTCCATCTTCAGTGCAACCTAGTCGTTCCCCTGGATTTTTAGCAAGTAACTGCAAAGATACAGAAGAAAAAGCTGATCCAGTGATACAATCCCACAATTAAAAAAAAAAAAAATCTATATACAATGTCTTTCAGTAAGTTTATTTTGTTACTTGGCCTTTTATTAGATGACATTTATCATGGTATCAAAATGAACTGGAAATCCACTACAGCATTCTGGGAGCAAAAAGATTTTCAGTAGACAAAAGAATCCCTGAGAGCAGACCATTTGAAGATTATACCCAAAGTTATATGGAAATATTTTAATTGATGCCATGCTAAATAGATTTTACAGTACAGACTTTGCACTAGACTTTACTTTCAGGAAATACAGACTTACTTTTTTTCCAGTGGGCTTAAGTAATGCACATATTTTGCATAAACTAGCAAAGAAAACTTTTGAAGCTTTCTGTATAGATGTGCTTCTTACTAAATTTAAGAACATGCAAGATAAAAAAAAACCTGTTGCCTTGTACAGATTCTTTTAGGCAAAGAAACTAGTATACTACTCTGCCATTTCTCCCCATACAGTATCAAAGTTGAGCATGCTATTGTACTCCATCTATAGTTACATGTGGTCCAAGGAGTACTGGACCTTTTCATTCACGTGATGAAAAATCAATTTATGTAGCCTTCCTTCATCTTGAAAAACGTTCTGAATTCTCAAAGTTTGATAATTGAACAATTCATGGACAATCACAAAATTCCATCTGAACCAAAAAAAGGTTTAAGAACTCCAGCTTTGAAAAATTTTCAATAGAAAATGTTAAAGTAGTTCATCTCTTAAAAAGGATTAGAAATTTAATTTTCAAACCTCTATGTCTCTTCACCCACCATCCTGCAGATGGATTTTGCCTCCTCTGAGAACTTGTCTGAATATGTTTCCTGGTCTTCCTTTACTCTCCGGTCAATCTCATCCCGTTTGACCCTTTCTTTATGCTTCCTGAATGGAGACTGTCCTTCAATCATTTCATAAATCAAGCACCCAAGACCCCACCAATCCGGGCTGAATGTATACTTTTCGTTTTTGAGCACTTCTGGAGCTACAAAACAAAAACAAAGAAATCCCCATGACAATTCACTTGAAATTAACTAATTAAATATTGAAAAAACTCTCAGGCACTCTTTTGGCTCTGTGCAGAGATCTTTGCGTAACTCCACTGTACTTCAAAGAAATGTTAATTTCTATAGCGAGGACTCTGTTTATATCCAAAAGAAGCACTTAAGTTCTTTAACACTTAAGATCATTATTGTTTACAAACTAAGAATGAAGTTTTTCCAAAGCATGGAAACAAATGTGTTGTCACAGTAATTCATCTGCTTACCTGTGACCCTAAAAATTAGGCGCTTTCTTAAAGTTCTACCTAAAGCTAGAATTTCCAGAGTTAAGTTTTCAAGTTTATCAGTAGGCTTATAATTGACTACTAACATCTACCACCGCATAACCTTCCTTCCCATAAAATGTCTAGTAACTAATCCAGACCAAATATAGTTCTTTGGACAAGTCATTCATATATTTACAGAAGCAAATTTTCTGGTAAAACATAACTAGCAAAGGATACTTTACGCACCCATGTAACCAACAGTCCCAACCCGTCCTCGGACCGTTTCTCCTTCTGGAATCTGCACAGCTAATCCAAGATCTGAAATTCTTATATGTCCTATTTATGTTAAAATAAATTATACATAGTCAGCAAATAATAAAATATCACCACTTTTAAAACAAAAAATTTTCATAGCATACCTCATCAAAAAAGCCACCCAAAACATCAAAACATTCATATACTCAGAGCACTAAGGTTATTTAACTTATCTAGAAAGGAGTGATTTATCATTATTCAACCCTCCCTTAAATACGTAAAGGAAGAGAGGCACAGATCTAACTGATTTCCTGAAGGTCATACAAAAAAAATTGCTGTTAAGTACTGTAATTCCTAGCTTTGGCATAGGCTGCTACTCTAGGACAAATAGAAATGATGACTGCTCATTTCAAATTCTGTAGCTACACATCAGACACTTGTATTTTTCTGTTCTGTATTCCCACCACAAACACTTAGCTTTTTGACTTCCTAACAAAACATCAGCATTTTCTCTAGTTATTCCAAATATGAGAAAACTGTAGCCTGTACTGAGACATCAGTTTTTCCTCTAACAAAGTACCCTAATAATGCTAAGCACAAGTAAGTGGAATTGCAATCCCCACTCCCAGCCCGAAAGAAGAGTAGCCTAGCCATAACCTACTTAGAATTATTTATATTGTAACATGTTAGTTCAATATTAGGGTTTTCCCTTCTCATGAACCAGTCTAATGTAGATAACTTAGGCTTCTATTTCTCTTTATAGGCCAAACTTCTCAAGTTGACTACCTTTTCTATTACGTATGGCATTTACACTAGTACCTATTAATGTAGAAGTAGTCTGGTGGAAGATTATGATTTGCCATGAACAACACTGCTCAGATGGGGAAACAGTCCAAGAAGGGCAATGGAAATAAGTTCATCCCACCCTCCCTTACATTCCCATGGACAGATACAGTTCTTTGCTGGACAGACTCAACAGGAAATGATTCGAGACAATTCAAGACAAGACTTGTATTGATATGATTCTAATTTAAAAATACATAACGCACTTTCTCAATAAAAATATAAAAGGCTAGACAGAAGAAAGGACAATTACATTTTCAACGTAATTTTGAAACAGAAAATTGCCAATCACCTGCAGTAGAAGGATTCAGGGGGAAAAAACAAAACAAAACACACACTTATTTCTAATACTGGATATAAGGACAGGGACACTGTCATTTACAGAAACATTACAGATTCACAGACTAATTCTGTGGAAGGCTGGAAGGCACTTCAGAAGGTCTCTAGTACAACCTTCTGAGCAAGCAGTCAGCCCAAAGCATTCAAGGCTTTTTAAAGTCTTGTCTAGAAAGTGGGCACTGCATCACCTCTCTGGGTAGCCCGTTCCAATGCCCGAGTGTCCTTTGCGCATATATTCTCTGTCATTCAAAAAGCTCTACAGCATAAATGTTAGTTAAAAGAATATTAATTTCTTATTTACATATGATAGATAATCAAGGGGTGGGGAGAGAGAGTGGAGAAAGTCAAGTGCCACTCCATATACTGGTTGGAAATAACTAAATGCTCTTGAGCAGCAAATGCTACTTTAAACACATTCTGATGCTCTTCTCTTCCCTGACATCTGATGAACCCCTTTTCAAGTGCAGGATCTGAGCTCCTGAAGCTATTTTCTAATTAGTCCCCTCTGCTCTCTGGAACAAGATCAGAATATCCCTGGCAGAGAGAAAGGGTTCTAGTGCAGTCCTGCAAGGCTACATTTTTCCTCAAAGAAGCCTTCAGCTTTTGCAAGACGTTGCTGGAGAGAAAAATTAAAGAATGCATTTGATGTCTAGTAAAGCTTTAGCTATTGCAAAGTGACTTCTCCCAAGCATCACCTTTTTAGAAATTTATCAGTCAGAACATGCTGACTTTAAAAAAAAAAATACTGTGCTAATGACTTCAAAAACAGTTTTTTCCTTAACTAAAATACCCAGCAATTACAAGAACAAACTGGTAATATTCATCCACCGCTTAGAAGAAGTAATTGCTGCACATGTTCCACAGTGAATTCAAAAGATTCTGGTAAATTTCATACAAAGTCATCAAAGAAAATTAATTTGGCTTTTGAAAAACAAAAAACTACAAACACATCTTCATATTGTTTGTACTTCCTAGATTCCTTCCAGCCACATATGCACCAGTGACCATCAGACCTGTTTTAGCTGAAATGTTAAAACAGAGATGCTTCGGATTTCTTTTCTTCTTTATTGCTTAATTATAGTTTACTAAGTAAAATTCTGGCCCCACATCTAACAAATCATGTTTCCATAGTCAAAGAAAAGACAAACAAGAGAACAAACCCATATAAAAGTTTTAGCCGTCTTAAATCAAGGGGCGGGCGGGGTGAAGGAGGAGCAAAGGGGGAAAAGTAGCCATTTTAAGTTGGGAAATTGTCCCCTCAAACATTGTGATCATCATCCCCCAAAAACACAGTATTTTCCCCTACTTTCTACAAAGCAAGGGCAGTTTTTTCTTTACTAATTAAACTTAACATTTGTCAGTCAGGTCCCTTTTATTATGAAGAAATCCCTTTGATTTCTGGCACAGTATTAATTAGATTTGTAATTCCCAATTTCAAAATTAATATTTACTTACCACAGTCATCAAGGAGTATATTCTCAGGCTTCAAGTCTCTACAAATTAAACAGAATAGAAATGTGAATTATACAAATGCAAAATTATTAGCCATCATCAAGTGCAACTGAGGCAACATAAGACTTCATGGTTCTGATTAAAGCAATTTTTCCGGTTTCCAACTATACACAAAAAAAGTTGTGAAGTTGAGGACCTATAATACAAATAGTTTAACCACAGAACTCGTGAGATCCATTTTTTCCCAACTCTCTAATCCACTTACATTAACAACAGCAATTAATATTTCACAGATGAGAAACTTCCTGTACACAACACTAAAATCCTGATATGAAGAACCACCAACTTACACCCAAATTAGTGCTCATAAGTGAAAGCCATTTCTCCTGAGAGTATCAGCCATACAACTCCACAATGGTAGAATACATCAGTGCTTGCTGCAGTTCGATGCTGACCCCTTGCTATATTCCATGCCAGGGTGTCAGAATATCAACAGAGAGTAATATTCCTTAAACTAAGCATAGGCTTAATATCATCCATTCAAACACCATTCCTTTAATTTAGACATGCAGCTTCTAAACCTTACTGAACACTTGTATCTAATTAGGATTCTTTGCAATCAACTTTTTAAGAGTCTCTACCACTTTTCTGTAAACATTACATTTTTTTAGGTATTAAATGCTAGCAAGACCCAGGAAATAGCAAAAAGGGCAATTAATTCGGTGTTGCAATTCTGCATTTTATAGGCATCTTTTTGTACATTTTTAAGAAAAAAAGATGAAACTCAGTGGGATACTTGGATCTCCCCCCCGCCTCAAGGAAAATTTGGGGAGTCACTGAAGCTGAATCAGAAGCTGTTCAGAGGTTACTTCTAGGATTTATCCTCTAGCAGATGCTACTGAGAACATACATATTTTTAGATATATAAATATATATATGCATAAAACATACAATATATTTTATATATATAATTGTGATATGCGTCAGAAAGTATGTGGACTGTAATACAGTCTTTTAGATTTATTCCACCATAAATATCATAAGGCTAGAAATAAGCAAAAATCGGTACTTGGCTAAAGATTCAGTTATTAATGGAATAGATTATTAAAAACTATGTCCATATATGGGTATATATACAGTTGTAACAATAACAGTTATTCGTATACAAGCAGAAAAGACTAAATAATGTAAAAGAAGCAATTTTAGGAAGAACAACTCTAGAATTTACATTCGTAATGAAATATACACACACATTTATTCACCAAGAAATCTGTATGCTTTTTTCCCCCAAATATCGATAAATTGATGCTCTGAAGTATGTGTATTCAGATTAAAGTTTCATTATTTCATGAGATTAACTGTATAAAGAAGTCAGCAAGCCACTTTCCTCCTAATACTTTTAAGTCTAGACAGTCCCCATAATGTTAATCATTTGACATTAGATATGAGATTACAATATCAGAGAAATCAGGAGAGATCAGAGTGAAAAAACAAAAAACAAAAAACCCACACCCATACCAAAAAAGAAAAAGAAAATTCAGCTCAAACTTTAGGTAGAAACACATCTAATTTAAAGCACATAATATATGCTCAGGTTAACTCAAGTAAACAAGTTTAAAGAGTTCCATCTCCAAGAAGGCTGAATAAAGCCTAACCTAAAACTTAGTACTTACTAGCAACACCTGCTGCTTATTAGAAGCTAATTCTGTTCTGACAGGATTTTGGTCACTCAATAGTCAAGAGTAAAACTTGTTTCTAGCCAAAACTCCAGCTCTTTAATGCTATTAGTTTCTAGGCCTAGCTGTTTGCAAAGAAGTCAGCTTTTGGAAGCATTCAGCTGTAAATTCTAGCTCTGAGATGCTAGCTTTGGGGTATCAGCCTTCTCCCTCTTCCCTTCCTTCACCACAACAGAGACCAAAGTCGCAGTTTCTGTTGGAATACACAGATGCTAGTCCTGCTCTGGGTAACAGCCTACTTGAGCTGAAAACTAAGCTCAGAACGAGAGCTAGCAATGCAATTCTAGCAACAGAGGCAGCAGTTTTCCTTTATGAAGCAGAGAAAGGTTGGAGGACTGCAAAGCTCACAAAACTACGAGGTTCATTGAAAAGAATTAGATAAAAATTATATATTTATTTTAAATTGGACTAAACAAGCACTGGTTTACTTTTGCTATAGCTTACACCGACCTTCCTACAGAGAAAATTTCTGGATAAAAATCCTTCAGAGGATTTCACTGTAAAGTTGTCTACTCTGAGCACAGGCATGAGGCAGGCAAGGAGCTACTTGGTTTATCCACTACAGCTTCAACAGGTCTTTGAGCCTGATCTTTGACCTTCCAAGCACATTCAGTGGCACTATGGGCACCTACATGAATTTGTGAGGAAAATCTAGGCATCCAAGCAGCTTATCTGATAAAAAACACTACCATTCTTGAGGAGTCAGGTAACTCCTGCAGGAAAACTCCAGTGATTAAGTCCCTTTTGGAAAGCAGGCACTTGTTCCCCGTTCTGTCTTATACAAATCCTGACTCTGCTCTAAGTATTATCAGATTTCTTATGGAGCAGATGGATGAATAGCTCACTACTGCCTGTTCCTGTCTGTTTGTTTATTTTTCTAATGTCAGCAACGTACAGCAAGTTACAAATCGTTTCACAAGCTCCCATTGAACAAGCAAACTGGCTCAATCGCTATCACAGGGCAGTGCGGGGCCCTCCTTCCAGCTCTGCACCCGTTCTTTTAATCCAGTGGGAACTCCACTAACAAAATGGCACAACTGACTCCAGGGTCCTGCAGACAGCACTAACACCACTGCTTGGAATTCAGTAATAACTGGTATAAAGACACGTGAAACACACAATGAAATTAACGGAGAGGAGAGTTAGGCCTAGTTTTTCCACTTTATGAGGCATTTTGCTACTGATGGTGACACGTCCCAAATTATTATAATAAATTTATAGTAAATTTTAACATGACTGACTTACATGAAAACTACCATTCTAGAACTGAACAAACTGACAAGATTAACTGATTTTACTGCTATCTGCTGACACCCGTCTGCACCAAGGATTTCTATTTTCAGAAGTTCTGAACTTCCCTTCTTCCACTGCCTCTACAGTACACTTTACTGTGAATATACAGATGGGTAGCCACAAAAACATGTTCTCAAGAAAATATTTTATAATAGCATGTTACAGAATTAAAGTCCGCTTTAATAGTTTTAGCTATTTGTCTAAAAAGAGTGTTTAAATCTCCTCCTTTAAAGCTGGAAAACAAATGCAGTAATAGATCTTGAGATATGGCAACAAGAACGAGCTCCAATTTCAGAAATTCAGGGGTCCTACCAGTATTAAATGCTTTCAAAATGACAGCAAAATAAGAAAAACATTGCTTCTGTATTTTCTTGTCCTGGAGAATGAAAAATACTAGTTACCGTAATTTGGAAAAATAAATCATTGAATCAATGAAAATGTGCTTCATTATGTTCTCCCCCCCCCCAACAATATTAAGACTGGAGGTTGCCAGCATAACTTCTTTGGTGAGAATAAAATAATTATGGCAAATTTTCCCAAGCTTTCTGTTTCACTAATCATATATAATCACAGTATTGCTGCCTACATGCATTTCCATTAAGGTGCCTGATAGAGAATTTTGATCGTGTAACATATCACTGCAGTTGGTGACATTCTGAAGACTTCCATGACCACCTGTTTTGGCTTCTTGACTTTAAAACTGTAAAATTTACAACTATGCTCCTAAATGCATGATACAAAAAGAAATACATATGGAAAAAACAAATCAAGACCATCAGGAAAAAAACTACCATTAGCAAAAGAGAAGAAACAAGACTTTGTTTTACAAAAAGCTGGTCATTTGATATTAAAAAGCACAAGGCTGAAAGTAATTCTACAGAGAGCATATAATTATCCAAACATTTTCGAGTGTTAGTACTCAAGTGTCGTTGAGCTGACATGGTATAATTAGAGTCTCTTTTAATCTGTTTACATACTGGGCAGGAACTCCCTTAGTATGTCCTATATGGAATTGTTTAAATAATGCCTTCAGGTATTATGATAATTTAAGCCCTTCTTTTTCCTCCAAGCATACAATTTATTCAGTTACTAACACATGTACAGGTAACTGTCTCTTGGGCCTTCATTTTCTTATGAATAGAGGTCTAAAAATAATTCTCATTCTTTTAATTAAGAGGCAATTTTACTCAGAGTTGGTTGTGAAACTGGTTTTTTCCTTGCTCATAAATTTAAGGCCATGCAAATTCTTAATAATTGGAAACTGATTACATGATAGCACAAAACAGGGCAGAGATCTAGACACCAAGACCGCTCCAGAAGAAAACACAACCACTCCAAGATCTGGAATTACAGACAGAGAACACATTTGACATATGTGTTTGAAGGTCATCTTGTAGGCAAAGAGCTAACAAGTTGGGCTTAAACACAAGAGCTGTGGGTTTTTTGGTTGTTTTTGTTTTGTTTGGAGTTTTTTGGTTGATTTGTATTTTAAACAATCAGTTTTGTTTTCACTTGGACAATGTGAAATGACCTACTTGTAGGTCCATATGAGGAGAATGATAAGCAAAACCATTCATACTTGCTTCCCTCCTACATGCATGCCAAAACCTACTGTGTAACATTGCAAGATTGGCCAAATTCTTTAGGGAACTGCATAAAACAACCAGCATAAGCCTGATTTACTCTGTGGTTCTGCCACTTTCTGCTGTGTGTATGTTAGTCTTCTATATTGGGGAGGGGAAAGACTAACAGTCATTATATTACAGTTACGCAGGGTTATACTTGAAATCTTTGAAAACAAGCGGTGCTTGGTGTTACACACCAGAAAGAGAAAGAAAGCGTTCTTGGTCCACCACTAAGTTTGTTTTGCTTGTTCTGTAATATTAATGTGTGCCAGCAGGGTTAAATGATGCATGTACAGAGACAGAAAAGAGAAGTAAGATCATGCAATCTCAATTACAATGCATGAGCCTTCTGACAGTTTCATTAATTCAAAAGCAATAAAGTGTTTATTGAAGGAACCTGAAATAAAAACAGAAGGAAGAGAGCAATATGGATTACAACTGACTCTTTACCCTCCTGGGCGTAACAAGCAATGCAGCAAGGGACTTCTATCTATAGCCTTCTGTGAACTTCTACTTTAGAGTGGGCAGGAATACAATCCCATGTTCCTAAAACTTATTTATTTGAATTACTAATGAATTTGCTTTGTAAATCACCATGTACTATCATTGTACAAACAAACCTTGAATCAACTTTATAATGTTTTAGAATATAATGAGTATCTAGACCTAAATTAACAGTAAGACGACAAATAAGATCCGTAATTCTGAAGGACATGCCATGAAAAGGGCAACTAAACAATTTTTTTGCTTCATTTACTATGAAGTTTAAGTATAAACTTGTTTTAGTAGAAAACCATTAATACATTCAATGCTGAACAGACATGGAAAATTCGAGGTACCAATGACTGTAGATGACACTCACCTGTAAACAATTCTCTCCTTCTGCAAATCCTCCAGACCACAGCACAGTTCTGCAGCATAGAAAATAGCCCTTTCTTCATCAAAGCCAGGATTTCCCATGTTATATATGTGAAACTTCAAATCCCCTCCATTCATTATGGTTAATACTAAACACAGGGCATCTTTCGTCTCATATGTATAGGATAAACTAACCTAAAAATGGGGCAGGGGGAGAAGATGACCATTATTCATTCGTAAACCCCAATACAGTTCACAGCTCTTTTTTTCCTGTACAAGCAACATATGAATCCTTTTTTAAAACAAAAAAGAACAGACTAGCCAAGTAGAGAATCGTTCCTGTCCGGTACTCGAAGACACAAAGGAATTCAGACTAATTTGCATGTACACACAAAGCCTACATCACCATACAAAAGTTTAGTGACATATCTGTTTAGATACCATAGAGCTCCATCCAGACAATAGATTTATTGATGATGTCCCTCAGCTGCACGTTATCTGTATTACTCTTTGTAAAGATAACCTGCGCATATACCTTATTTTATTAATACCTCAGGAATTATGCATGGTCAAACCATCTTCCTGAACTTCTACAAGACTCAAAGTTGCCCTACATGAGAGAAACTAAATGTGTAATTTCTATTCCTCCCCCGCCTCCCCCAGTAACTGCATATTTTCCTGGCTTAGAACTTGCCAACAGTAAAAGCTTAGTATAGCTCTGTAGTCTTTCTTCTCACTATATTTGGAATGAGGTGCTGATAGGGAAGAAAGAACACCGTTTTTTTTTTTTCCTTCAGGTTTTAGGTAAATGTTTTTAAAGTGTATTTAAAGTTTTAAAGCAGAGTTGTGAATTTAAAGAAAAACAATTTTAAAACAATGTAATATACTGCAAAATTTAACATATGTTGTTTGAGTTACAAACTCAGTTTCAATAGAAAAAGCTATGCTATGCTGATGATCATCTGGCAGGATCTTCAAAATTACCTACAGAGATAAACTAACTTGTACTGAAAGCAATGGGATTTAAACATACTTACCTGATGTAAGCTAAGTATAAGTTAGGTAAAAATCAGTAGGGTTTTTTTGACTCAATAAACGTATTTTTAAATGCAGTACAAATACATAAAGGCCATAACTCAGTAGTTCTTCCTTCAGAAGCATAAATCTAATACTAAATAATAAAATGAAATAAATACACAAATCAGCTACTCAGGGCAAGGGTTCCTATTTGGTGGTTTTAAACTGACCTGTCCAGCTATTAATGACTTCACTTGTGACACAGGCATGACAAATTATCCACTCACTTCCAACCCAGTAATAATGCAGATCCTAGATCTAGATCTTCTCTGTTGCATCAAAAAAAACATTGGATGGCAAGAGGAAAATAACTTACGCTCAATCCTATAAAGTGATTTCAGATTCAACCTTGATCAATTATTGATTTGTAATATTTACATATCTTGAAAAAAATACTACTCAAAAATAGAAGTTTCACTCTTATCTCTACAACTAGTAACTTCTGGATCAATTCAGGTAATTTCTGGATTCAGTTTCAATCAATTCAAGCCCATGAGCCTTGTGAGAAAATAACATTAGCATATTTGTACAAAAACATTATTTATAGTCATTTAAAATACATTACTGTATCTGGCCAGCAGGTTCTTAATTTTTCTTTTAGCTGGCAGTATTCTACAGGGGTTTTTTTAAATACATAAAGCTTATCAGAAAATACATACATACGTATTTTATACATACATATATATGTTTTTGTTTATAAATAACTGCCACTACCCTCTAACAAAGGTACTTTGAAATCCTCTCTGAACAGCAGTACAAAATTTATCAGTAAATGGATTTAAAAACAAAGCAAAAAGCATTTAAAATTAACATTTAAATTACAACAATTCAATGAAAAAAATAAACATTACCTGGGGGAAAGTTTACCTGGTGTATCTTTGATCATTCTAAGTTATTTCACTGCTTAGTAATTAGAGCTACTAACAGACCATAACATGATAGTATCAGGTTAAAGTATTAAGACTCTCATTCTGTGGAATTTCTATTTAAAAGTTATGTTAATTGTTTCACATCCAAGATATCTCTTTAAGCTTTAATACACAGCAAAGCAATATAACTAACCTGAATCGATACACTAGTCAAATTTCATGTTTATCTTGAAATGTATAAGCAATAGAGTAACAAATACTATGAAAATACCTAAGGATATAACAACTCTACTATTAAAAGTCACAGAAATGCAGATGTGCAACTTCTAATGGCAATTAAATGGCAGACTCTCATGAAGTCACCCCTTTGTAAATGCATTTATGAATGACCTCCAAAAATGAAATCAGAAATCAGCATTAATTATAAGAAAATGGGTGTATGGGAGGGAAGAAGGGGGTAAGAGAAGAAAACGGAGAGCAATGCATTGGAAGAAAAGACAGAGAAGGAAAAATAGGATGGAATAAAGTATATGGAATATCCTCTTTATTAAACATAGGCAAACATGCTACTCAGTCATAGACTGCAGCAGAAATAGAATTTAAGCGATTATTCAAGTCTGAGTACTACAGAATAATCTATTCACCTTTAAACAGAGGACAAAGAGTCAGTGGCATCAGCATGCTGAAACACAACCTAATGTTTTGGTTGTAAGTGAGAAATAAAGCAGGCTGACTAAAACCAATTCAATATTGGATAAAAAAGCCCTCTGCAAAGAACTACTCACAATCACACACAAAACATACTTCTTATTATAACAATCATTTATCTCAGCAGTCATGCATTCTCTAAATAATTAAAAAATGTCTTGTGCCCACAAGCTCCTGGAGGAGTCTGAAATGAAGCAAACAAAGCAAGACAAACTTCTGAGAATAAGATCAGAAGTAGATACTTACTACAAACCTACTATTCACTTTTTCTAGAATTCTTTTTTCATTTAGAGCCATTGATTCTCCTTTCCTCTTCTTTATTCTCTTTTTTTCTAGCTTTTTACAAGCATACATTTTTCCTGTTGCCCGTACTTGACAGGCACACACCTAAAAAAGAAGGAAGGTGTATCAGAGATGCTAGGGGTTTTTTAGAATTTTTTTCAAGGAAGATAAAATTTTATTTTCTTTTTTCACACTCTTGAGTGGTCTCAGAAAATGAAGGTCTGTAAGCATCAATACAGAGCTTTCACCCATGAAACAACTTTGAAGGGTATAAAAGCTGTAACTAAAAGTTGTAACAGAAGTAGAAAAAGTGATTATACAGGAGCAAACCCATTTTTGTTGGGGTTGAGTAGTTCAGTAAAACTGTGGATCTTGTGTTGGTGAAACACCTGACTGTGGTAACAATATATGTCTACGCAAGCAGGACAAAGGACAAACATCCACGCCATAATCAAGTGGGAGAAAGATAATGATAATTTAGTAACCCTCCTTCCCCTTCAAGATAGGGCTCTGATTAAAGCATGTAGGGGAAAAAAACCCAATGAGTTATAAACAGAATAGGAAAATCTATCGATTTTATTCATCAGGTTCATGAATATTCTACATAATTATTAAGTAGAAACTACATTCTCATTGCCAAATGAACGTTCTAAACAGAAGCAACTGTTGTTAGTTAGTGGAAGTTTTCTCCAACTTTGTGCATGACTTACAATACTGAAACTACACATTAAAAGAAAGCAGTTTGGATTGACAACATTTTGCCAGGTGATGTGTCAATGTTAGAGTCAAGAGTTAAAAAACTGCTCCTCCTCTGTATTAACCTTTTTTTTTTTTTTTCCTTAAGGATTGCCTTGCAGAAAGATACTTCTGTACTCACCTCTCCAAATCCACCTTTGCCTAGTACTCGGTAATGCCTAAATGTGTGTTTGGTTACCGGTTGCCTGATTAACAGAAAGGAACAATTACTGCAACAGGAATTACAAGAGTTAGTAATCCCCTCCCCACCCCGAAGTCTGTCTTCATTTTCTCCTTCCTGTTCTGTAACATCTCACTGAACAACAGTTGCCTTGACCTCATGAAGACAGTATTATAATAAGCTGAATTTCAAATGAAAGGGGTGCTCTGATTAGAAACACTGGCTCCCTCATGTGGTCATCAGACATTCACAATAGCAGGAAGAAAAGCTGATCAATTAGGCCCTGAGCTGTTTATGGTTAGAGCCTTATCTGTTCTCATCAACGGTCAATTTATCACCTCCAGTTGTCTCCCTTAGCTGCAGTATGCTGACATGTAGGCTGCGTTTCAATGAGATCCTGCTTACAATACAGCATTTAAAAGGTAAACCATTTCTGATTTTGGTTTGCTCTTTGGCTTTTTCAAAAAAGAAAGAGTTGTGGTATGCAACAGCAGTTCAAGAGCCGAATTGTTAAGGTATTGATGTAGTGGAAGAGGAACAGATAACTGGAGACAGTAAAGGTGTCAGCCATTCTATGCTAAAACACTCCTAAACATGTATCAGAGCAGGGCTATTTCATGGTGGTGAGCTGGGGGTTTTTTGTTTTGTTTTAAAAGAGCATTCATTGTTAACGCAGCTTTGTTCTCAGGACAACAAATGGAGGTTCATTTGTTAGAGAATTTGGTTTAATTGAGTAACTTCCCTAGTTCTCTTCCTGGCTTTTGCTACTAATTCAGTCAAAGACACTGGATAATTGGAATTTACCATAAAATTAATGCTCAAGCACCTTAATGTTTGAATATGTCATCATGATACCCAGCAATGCTGAATTAGAATCAATTTGTACCAATTTCAGCCTTCTGAAAAAGTTTGGACACTCATTTAGTATTGATTTAAAAGCCCAAACTAGATTCTGATATATACAAATCTTGCTGTCTTGTAATTACTAGATCTGTGTCTGTACCACCCTGAAAAACTGATTAGTTCCCCAATCACCCAGTGGGTTATAAAACTAGATTAATCTGCTTATTAACCACTAATTAGACCAAGTTTGAAACTAAAGGATGATAGCATTCCCGAGAAAGATTGGTTTCCCATGCACACTTGACAGCCAAACATATATCCATATGATAATAAATTTGCATTTACCCAATACAAATTTACCACTTAAAGACTCCTGGACAGATACTTCCGTTGGAGTATTGGCTCTCTCGCTGTCCCATCAACATCATCCTTTACATCTTGTCTTTCAGATCATAATTTCTTAGACAGGCAGTGTCATTCATTAGGGCTCTATAGCATTTCTAGCATAAGAATTGGCCACAAAGTAAAGCAAAATTATAATGCAAACATTATAAATAAACTTACTTTTCCAGCCATTTCCACTGTAAAAAACGGGAAAAATACACACTGTCTTGGTAGGCTTCAAAAGGTCTTCTGCTTAGGTATTCATGGACAATTCTAGCAACAGGAAAATAAAGTCAGTCTTATACTGAAAAAACTGATGAAGCAGAAGGTGCTATCAATCTATTAAAACCTATTAAACATATCAATGACGCTGTAGGCAGAAAAACATTGTCACTGTGCTCAGCAATGGCTTTAGTCTAGATGTCTCACAAAGTGAGTGCCTCTCACAGAAAACTGTTTCTGTCGAAACACTAGCGAATGCCAAACTACTGTTACTTACAGTAACTAGAAAGTTTGACCTCTGCATTCTCATGAAGTGTCTTCAAGCCCACCTAAACATCAGCCTCTCAGTAGCTATGCAATGCATGTATGACCCCACAAATATGACCTCTGAAAGATATTCACAGGAAAGTATCCACAGGTTTTCATACATTCTTTGGAGACTGGTAAGTAAAATTTTATTCTAGGACTTGAAATTGAAATACTAAATGCCATATCCAAACCTGGACACCAGCTACCTTATCATTCCCCTTAAATTAAATACACCAAGGGGGTGGTGGGAGGAAAACAAGCAATTCAAACTGTATTCAGATATTTATTGGACAAAGGAAAGGAGATGACCTACATGACAGATCCTCCATTTGAGACATGTTTTACTAGGTGTTCTCACACATCCCTTTCAATCTTATAATCTCAGGTTGTTATAAAGTATGCTTATTTTTGTTGCCAGGGAGATGACCCAAGCAGTGACAAAACGTGTTGTAATCCTTCAGACATGATCAAGCATGCCTTGAAGAACCAGTAATATTAGAAACATAAAAGCTTCAGAAAGACATGCAACACTGGTAAACATGTACCGTCCCTCCAAGAAAAGCCTTCCCTGCTGCTACTGTGTGAAATACCACTTCATGACTTCAGAACAAAACCAAGTTGTATTTGTTTAACTATCACAATCGATCCTCTAATCAGCCATCTTAATGGAATATAACTGTTGGCCTCAGTTCAACCTGTTTTCAAGAACCATAAGTTGTGTAACATTATTCAGAAACCTTTCAAGCTCCAGTTCATAACTTCATATTTTTCTAAGTACCTTTGTCATGGAAGAGAAGTCACTCAAAAGGTAAGATATAATAAAGAGAAATACTATTCTAACTTAAAGAATACTTGGTAGCAGATAATAGTGTGATTTTATGCAAAAATAGCATTAAAGAAAAAGCTCTGCAAAAGTCAAACATCTACATCACATCTGAAGGAAACCTAGTCCTTTAATAAATCTGTTCCAAATTTCTTACCTACACTCATTTCAGAGACCAAATACTCCTGGGTGTAACAACTTCACCTTTCACTTCTCTCAGAAACACACGAATTTCTCTTGTGATACTCGAACTTAGCACTATGCATTTTTAACTTACCTAGTACAATCCATAAAAAGATCCTTAGAAGGGTTCTTTTCCAGTCTTGCTTTACATTCGTTTACTGTTTCCTGAGGTATTTCTGGCAAGTGTGCTGCAGACTTTACATAATTAAAAAAGAAAAAGGCAACAATGAAAGCAATTTTGTAAATCAGTAGAAAGAGTACAAGTTCTGTATTCAAAGTGAAATGAAATCTGCTGATACAGGAAAAGGAAAGGAATAGTTTGGCTAAGGAGAAAACCAAGAAAGTCATATTCAGGCAAAATTTTTATTTGTTCCCTATTACAGAAAAATGCATTGAAAGCTATTACAGTTATTTACTATTTCAATATCCAGGGAAACAAACTTGGCAATAAGTCAAATTTCTTTTTCTTTCCATAAGTCTACCACCACAAAAGAAAATTATCTATTTGGTTTGGCAGGACGGAAGGAAGGGGAAACAAACACATGCACAATTTGGGAAACTATTTCAAACCAGCCCAAAGAAATCTTTTTTTTTGCAAAAACTGCATGTGACTTATGGTCCCAAAGAAATTATCAGAAGACGTGGCAAACTTGGAGTCTATCTGCTTTTAAGGCATCTGCAAGACCTTCATTTGGCGTAAAGCTTTCTCCAGATAACCAAAGTGAGAGAAGCAGAAGGAGCATCTATTCATAGAAAGCAAATGTCTAATTATATATCCACAGAAAAGCTTCTATCGGATACCAAAGAACAGACTCTTAAAAATCAACCAGTGAGATCTAATATATGCAAAAGATCAGCTATTAATGATCTCCATGCAAAATACAGAGAAACAGAAGGCTCTAGAACAAAGCAAAACAAAACAGCATTTCACTTTGTGAAAACCAGCAGCAATTCTGAAAATTTACAGTGAACCAACTAAGGCCACACAGGAGTCTGAAAGAAGCATGAGAATTTCAATAATTCCTCATTCTCATGTCTTCAGACTATAAAACTCTGAGTTAATTTGTTAATAAGTTTTCTTTAGATGCTAAATGAGTTTGTTTAAAAATATATCTTTACTTGAGACCAGTATATTAATTAGAAAACATAGGAGAATAAATCATAACGGTAGTAGTCTTAAAGGCAGAGATCAGTCAAGGTTTCTGCTTAAGTTGATAGAGAGTTTTGCAATTTTAGAAGGCGGTATACCTTTCAGAAAGACAAAAATGGGACTAATGAAGTTTGAAAGTCAATTTACTAAAAACAATGCAACCACTTAGATCTCTATTTATCTGACATTTACAAAACACTTGAGACAGTATTTTGCAATATAATATATTTACCCCATTAGTGAAGTACGTCTCTAAAACTTTCAGGCCACAGTCTATACGCTTTTCATCTGAAGATACCTCATATTCTGCCTAGGGGAATGGAATTGAAAATTAAATTATGTTCAGAGCTATTTGGCACTACAGACCTTTACATGATGCTAGGTAAATTTTATCATGAATAACACAATGCTCCGAATATAAAAGGAACTGAAGGCTCTCATTGTTTAAAATCTATTTAAAGATTTTTAGGCTACATAGTGAAACATGTATAAAGAACAATCTTAAGAAAAAAAGCACATGGAATTTAACTTTTGGAAAACATATGAAAACTAACAATTAGTCTAAATGCAATTACAGAAACTGCATCCTAGAGGTTAAATTAGATCAATTACAATGAAATAGTATTTATGTAGTATTGTAGGACAGAATGATCCAGATGGGAAATAATTAAATAAGACTACAATAATCAGCTTTTTCTTCACTGTATTTTTTTTTCCTTCATGTATTTTTCTTTACTACAGTCTTGGGTAAAACCGGGATAAAACTACTACTTTCTACAAAGTCATGTTAACTGGAGATAAGTGAGATCTAAACCAAACCCTACTTCATTCTTTGAGAAAATAAAACTGAGTAGATAAAAAATTTTGTGAAGTTTTTGACTTAGTAATATATGGTACTGTGATGTAGAAAAAGACCATTGTGCAATACAGCGCATTTTGCAGATAAACAACTGGCAGCTGAATAGAGCTCCAGAGGTAGCTACTTTGGGCAAAAAAACCCCAAACCATCAGATACTGGTATTGAAAAATTCCAAGGACTACTTACTATTAATAATTTTAAGGAATAATCTAGAAGCAGACATCAGAAGTTACAACATTTAAAGATAACACAGAATCTGAGGAAAGATGAATTAGAAAAGAGCAATCTCAAACAGCAACTTCGTAAGCTGGGCCAGCTCAATGAAAGCTTATTTCATATCTCAGAATGTAAATGCATGCACCTAGGAACAAAGAATATATGGCAGACCTCCAGAATGGAGGACTGTATCATACAAAACAACAGTTTGGCATATTGGGACAACAATCATTAAGAACCTCATAGGAAGTTCCAAGTGATGGATCTAATCAGAAGAGAAGTTACGTGCCTTTACAAAGAAAACTAGAACACTGAAAAATGACAATTCAAGAACCAAACACACACACACACTACTGGAAATAACAGAATCCCTGAACTCCAGTTCTGCAATGAATTGCAGCTAACCCACACTGACTCACTATTAAGTCATCAACATCTTTTTTTGCTGAGACATTATGGTATCAACTGCTTCAGCACAGTACTGAAATCGATAAACAATTGCAAGCCATTGGTTTTGCTACTTCAATTCCACAGCAATCAGTCTAATGGTAAGGAATTCTTCTGCAACTACCAAACAACCTGAGCGGGTCAGAGAAGTTAATCAACCACACCAGTGCACTTACCACCTTTAACATTATCAATTATGCCAAAGTAGTCACTAATTTAATACAAACAGTTAGGCGTACTGTTTTAAGCAGATACTGTAATTTAAAAGGAAGTTTAAGAGACAGCCTCGTCAACTAATTTCTGTTACAGAGCTTAAGAGGGAAGTTTGAGCTGTCACCCATTCTTTTTCATACTTGAGTAACCCTGTCCCCAGCTAGTGAAATGAGTCACTAGATGATTGGATAACTGTAATTCCTCACTTTAATTTCTGTCACTTTTATTCAATTATTTCTCAACTCTTCTTTCTGTAAAGCCAAGCTGACTCCAGACTTTAAGGTCACACCTTCGCAAGAGTTAAAGCTTACCAGTCTTAGTACTCAGTACAGATAGACAACATATCATTGTACTACCTTGATTTTGCTGGTTTGGCCTCCTGAAATCACATTGCTCCATATAAGAGAGTCAGAAGACTCTTAAGTATGACGCAAGGCTCTTAGGACTATGGCATTTTATGCCAGAAAGTTTATTTTCAGAAAGATTAACTCTAAAATTTGTTTAAAATAAAAAAAAAATTTAAAATTGGCAAAACCCGAGGTAAAAACCCCACAGACTTAGCCTTCCCCTTCACATTACTGCCTTACAAACAAAACCAACCAAAAAACCCTCAACCCCACCCCCCAAAAAAACCTTGAACAAGCTTGCTGAAGTCCAGTGTAGAAAGGGAATCAGGCTAACTCAGGAACTATCTGTAAGAGATGGTAGGTATTTTATCTCACTTCCTTGATCAAGACAGCATGCTAGCTTTCCCATCATGAGAGTCACCGATTAGAGATTATCTTAGCTCTTAAGAGTCTTCTGTTTCAGTGATTCCCAAGCATACTTCTTCACCATGATTTTTCAAATGGAAGTTAAAAAATTAAAAAAAAAAAGAGGTAAATTGTGAAATCATCCCTTACATCAGATTATCTCAACTATGACAGTCTTTGTTAATTCACAGAAGTGTTGCAATCCATATAACATTATAGGTTGCATATTTAAAAACAATTCAAAATGTTCAGTTAGTGTAAAACACAGTTACTTCTTAGAGACAATTTCACCTGAAAAATTACATTGTTAGAGCAAAGACATGCCTACCTTACAGTCATGCCTAAGATTTTTTTTCTCCTTTGTGCTGCCTAAGATTCTGCTACTCCTTATCTAAGCTTTTAAGGATTAAAAATGTGGACAGAAGTTGTAACCATTAAGGGTACATCCACAGTTGTCAGTGGTCTCCCCATTGTGCGATGCTTATTAAAGGCTCTGGTTTACATTCACTTCAGGATATTTAGCTCCATTATTCTGGATTTCCATTCAATCCATTCTATGTCTCCAACTGTCAAATTGATCTCTGGAACTTGGTGCTAGAACAGCTCCTAAGAGTCACAAAAGTATGGTGAAACGCACCTGGGGAGTAAGCCTAATTGCACAAAGATTCACTGGCAAATATAAGGCAATTCTACCTATTTGACACTAAAGTTCCTTCTTAGCTGATCAAGTGCCTCAGTTTATACTCCCACAGGGGGAAGGAAGATACAGTGAAGTAGGGGGCACAGCAATAATCCCATGTACTTCCTTACACCCTGCACCTCTCAGAGCCATCTTGCATTCTGAGATTGTATCTTGGGACTCATGTAAGCAGCAGCATAATTTGACCGTCTCCTTTGGTCATTTGTTCCCTGAATATAAGAACAAAAATGGGTGGGATGAGGAAAACAGTTCTTTTGGCAGCAATCTCAGTTTAAGACTATATCTTACTGCGCTTGGATTAACTACGAGGGACAAAGAATAAAAAGCTCTGAGCTATTTTTCTCTCCTCTTAAGGACTGTTGTGTGCCTGCCTACTCTCCTCATTACTTTCCCCCTCCCCATGAGGGTTTTGTCTGAGGATTTTTTACAAAACATGGCTGAGGGCACACTTCCTTCCTCTCCTCATTCTTTAGTGTTAGATACCAAGATGCAAACGTATCAAGACAAAACACTTCCTTTTCCCTTGGTCTTTAAAATCTGGTTTCTCTCCTTCCATAGATGGTTCCCTAAATTTCCATCTCCATTGTATTTTTTTTAATTAGCACATTCTGTCTAGCCTAGGGCTTCCATGCAAGTTGCAACATTTTCAAGTCTATGTTTACAACATTTTCAAGTCTGAATATCATAAGTAATATTCATTGTACGCACATCCTTTTAGGCTCAAGAAGTCAAGCAGCATGTCTTTCTAAAATTATTTCTTTCATTCCCATCATGCCCATTTTTGTAGCTCTGACCATACCAAGATGGCAGAGATTTTATAGTAAATATTAAATATCTTCCTTTAAGTAACAGAGCCAGAGTTTTTTGACATTCACCAGAAGTTACAGCTTTAGAGTTGGAAAAGACTAAATCTCACTATATTTTCATGTATGCAGCATTAGTGCACAGATGTGTTTAGACAAAATTAGTATTTTATAAAATTGTTGTGTGTTAACCCTGGTAGGCAGCTGAGCCCCACACAGCCACTCGCTCACTCCCCCCGCAATGATAATCAGAAGGGTAGAAGTGAGAAAACTCGTGGGTTGAGATAAAGATAGTTTAATAGATAAAGCAAAGCTGCACGCACAAGCAAAGCAAAATAAGGAATTCATTTGCTTCTTCCCATCGGCAGAAGTTTAGCCATTTCCAGGAAAGCAGGACTTCATGATGTGTAGCAGCTACTTGGCAAGACAAACACCATAACTCTAACTTTCCCCCTTTCTCCTTCCTTCCCCCAGCTTTTACTGCTGGGCATGACGTCATATGGTGTGGAATATCCCTTTGGTCAGTTGGGGTCAGCTGTCCCGGCTGTGTCCCCTCCCAACTTCTTGTGCACCCCCAGCCTACTCGCTGGTGGGGCAGCGTGAGAAACATAGAAGGCCTTGACGCTGTGTAATCACTGTTCAGCAGTAACTAAAACATCCTTGTTACCAACACTGTTTTGGTCAAAAGTCCAAAACAGCACAGCATGAGCTACAATGAAGAAAATTAACTCTATCCCAGCCAAAACCAATACAAAAAATCAAACTTTTTACAAACAAAAAAGTATAAGCTCTTGCCTACTGATATCTATCTCCAATTTCTCACTACTTACCACTGCATCCAGAAATTCAATGCATCTTTTCAAATCTGGTCTGGAATCACAGAACTGTCTGAAGAGAAGTCTTCCTATCGGCTGTTTGTCACAAAGCTGGTTATAGTCTCTTTCTGAGAAAGAAATAATAAGTAAATATCTTTATTTTTATCTTTGTCATAGCATGGTCCTTACTCCCATTTGAGAATAGGTCAGAAAAACATTACAAAACATGGCTGAGGGCACACTTCCTTCTTCCCCTCATGTAATAAAATGTAAAGATTTTACATTAACATATTTAGCAAAGACATCAAAAACATGCAATGATCCCAAAGAACGGTGAAACACTCACTTCCAGCCACATTTGTCTCTTACAGACTATCACATTTATTAAAAACACATACAATGATATAGTTAAGTTTCATTTAGGTTGGGGGTTGGAAAGCAACAATACTGTGAAATAGCAATCCCAAAGCAAACAGGGTTGTTTGGAAAGAAGGAATACAAGATAATTTTTTAACCTTTTCTATTATTATTACAAGACATTAAGAAAAAAAGTGAAATATATTATCGCGTTATTCAAATTACAACATGATTCCTTTTTCTAATTCATGGCTTTGTAATTTTATCCTTTAGGAGCAGTTTCTTTTAACAAACAAGAAGCTGTGATACAGCTTTTATCTTCTCATAAATTTATCTTCTCATAAACTCTCCATAACATTAAAAGTCTAATAGCTTTTTTTGCTAATTAGCATTCAGAAGCAAGACAGAATCCTCTCAGTTAACACCACCAAACTCTTACCCTTCCTTCTTAAAAAAAATCAGACAGACCATTCTACAGGACACCTACCAATTGAGCATCTAATACCTTCACAATGACTAACAGGTGGCAACTTCAGCATCTCTTTCCATTTTTTACTACGCCCACTCCGTTTGCCTAGAAGAAAAATATGAGTAACGTAAAACACAATACTATGTCAGAATAAAATCAAACATGACATTAACAGCATAAAATTAGTTCACCTCTGCACAGATCTGTCAGACCGGTTTTCATGCCTAGAAAGAAAGATCCATCTACAAGGATATCCAAACCAGTAACAAACTTGATATAGAAGAACTTTTATATGAAACACTAACAAATGTAGTGCGTATTTGGAAGACAAATATTTTGCATTTTGACTGTGCATACAGAATAGCTCTGCAGAGACAAGGCAAATATCTAGGTATTCTGAAAATTACAAACAAAACTGAACCATCAAAGACAGAAACTGAAAAAATTGAGAATTATCTCTCAACCACGGTGAAGAATGGAAGACATTAAAGTTGAGTAACAAAATACATTAGAACAAAGTTCTTAAACACATTTTTGGATAACCAAGTTGTACATAAGTATTCTCTTTCTTTTTTAAGGGCAGTAATAGTAATAAGAGTAGATCCCACTAATAAATGAGTGGGCATTGCTCAAATATACACCATTTATTCCATACTATAGGAGGATACAGGATATCAGGAAGAACTTAGCTGTGTAGAATTCAGATCTTTTCAATGCTTCCAATTTCACAGCACTAGTATTAAACTGATTTAAAAAAACCTACTACAGTATTTTTCCCATTGTTTCTCAAAAAAAAATCTGTGCTCCATTTTCTATGTTAAATTGGAATTTTAGCACATTACTTTGACCTGAAGAAGCCAATTCCATTTACAGAAGAAATGCATACTTATAAAAAATGCGAAGAGATAGACACAGGAACATATTTATATATATTTAATTGCAAAACATTTCAGCGGAAGAGTAGTTTTTGTGCTGCAAAATATTTTAAAAGAAGATTTTACTAAGTGATATGGCCAGATGCGTTTCCACATGACAGAACAGTAGCAAAACGGCACAGAAACTTTCTAACTGTACCAAAGCAGTACGTACCGTTAACCACAATGGGAGAGAAAGGAAGGGAGTTACCCTATGTAACCTGAACAGAAACCAAGCAGCAAACAGTACTCAACTCTTTCAGAATTAAATTGTTAGGGAGAAAGGAACTAACATCTTCAGAATAATAAAATAAGTATTTAAAAAAAAACCCTCTTCACCAAAACATACAGCTTCTTGAACAGTTCCACCATTGCAGTCAGAACAGTTCTAGCTTAGTGTACCTTAGCTCATATCAAATTTACATTGTCTTTGCTAACAGGAACATTGACGTCTCACTGTGCTGCTGCAACAAAACATTCTCAACTCTACTAGAAAAGTAAACAAATAAGGAATACAAAACTTTAAAAAGCTGGCTTGCAGAGATTGTTTGAATTGATACCTACTCTCTAAAAAACCTTCTGCACTTTTTTTCCTAATGTTGCTTTGTAAGTCATTCGCCTTCCAAAATATTTTGGAACACAAATATATCGAATCTACTTCTCCCTCTCATACTTCATACAGTACCAGAACTAATCATGAAGCTGTAATTACCAGCATCATTAAAACAAACTCCCACTATTTTAACAAAATATTTCTAATGTTAAACAGAATTTGAATATATGCTTGAAGAAAATCAAATCACACAGAGCAAAGAGATGCATTTCTAACAGAACTGAACATGAACAAAATCAAGGAATACTAACATAGATAGCCTGTACACATACATTGAATGGAAAAGGACTGGGTATAGATTATTATGTGATCATGAAAAACAATGGACAGAAGAATCAACCTAACTTTTAACCATGCAACTGAAAAATATGCTAAGCTGCAAGGCCCACAGAAGTTACATGTCTTTTGTTAGAAACTGCTCAGAAAGACTCATTTGTGCATGACACAGTACAATCAGTATTGACCAAGAATGATAAACTGACCCAAATTCATACTGCAATGCTGTCTGGAAAAAGTAAAACTGAATTGTGATATACACCACGTGTATCATCTTCTGAAGCACAGTCAAAGAAAAAAACCCAAAAAAATCCCAAACTGAAAAAAGAGGATCACTGGTGCATTAAACTTCAAGTCCAACACAAGAAAGTCTGCTGTATTTTGCCCCAAATATTTGGCTAGTTACTTACCATGTCACCATTATGAACTTCACTTTACAAAAAGAGACCACATGCTAGAATGCAATTGAATTCACCATCATATAGAAGTCAATAAAGACTATATATAATTTATTAATGATGCACAAGAATCAAGTGCTTAGGAGTATCAACTAAATCAACATGCTCTCTCTTTTCTCTAAACAGATTGTTCCTACATTTACAGCAAATGCACAGAAAAAGTCTGTATGTCCCAATAATGTAAAGAGAACGCATGACCTGCATCATTTACAGATAAATTAGCCATTTCTGGTAAAAGTTACGGGAGGAGGCCAATTTGTTTGTCATATTATTCCCTAATTGCAAAATTCTTTTCCATTTCCGAGGCAGTTTAAAAGAAGTATCAAATCAAATTATAATAGTTGTGGTTTGTAAGTGTCTTAATATTGATTTCAGAGCTTCTATTCTGGATCTCATTCTAAAATACTTCAGATAAAATTCTTCTAGAAAGATCAACAGCTTACTTTCCAACACAGCAGCAACAAAGCCATTAGGTTAATCTGCTTTATGGTTGACCTATGTGGTTCAGATGAATTACCACTTTTGCCTCGTTCAGATGTAATTGCTGGCTAGAACAATGTCTGACTTGAAGTGACTCATCTTTTACAAAGAGAAAGGTGGATGCAGCAATACACCATTGCAGTGAAGAAACACTGCAATTACATTTTCAGGTACATGAGAACCTTACCTTCTCCTCCCCAAATTACTTCTTAGAGTTAGAAGTTCAGCATTTACCTCTTTACATGTTTTTCCTTCTTAAAAAGATACATACTAAATTCAGTTAGGTCATTGCATTAGAATACGGATGGGAAAGATGTTTAGATGTTTTTATTTTTCAACTTTTTTTTTTAATGTCAGAGAAACATTTGAAAAACTTTGCAAGGCAAGGTGGTTGGCTTATTCATCAGTAAAAACACAACTAGTTGCAAAAAAAGAAACTGCTATGGCAAAACAAAGCAATCTGGTGTAGAAACAGATTTAGACAAATAAGACTATTTTAAAGTCATCAGATGGAATTCCCACAGCCACAGTGATCTTCCTTAGAGACAGGATTTGTAGCATGACTCTCATTTCACTGAGCACAATGTTCACTGAACATTATTAGTCAGTCTTCCTTGAGATAGAAAACTTGGATTCTGCCCTATGGAGTGAAAATAGTGAGAAGCATCATACTATCTTTGGCTAATAAATGTACACAGACTACATGGGGTAAGACTCAGTGGCTACTACACTGACACTGAGATTCTGCCACTGAGTTGTTCAGGGACCTCTGTGCTTCAGCTTTCCTGCCTGTAAAGGGCAAGCAACATATCTCTGTGGTTGAGAAGCACGCAGCTATGTAGCACTAGGGGTGCATGATTGCTACAACATCATTCTTGCAAAACTGATTCCACAAACCAGATTGTCAGATACTAGCTGAGAAATTCATACTAGACCACACCCAGATAAGCTCTGAGAGTATAAAACTGCAACAAGATGACCTACAGCATGCCTTTAACTGTATAAATCAATCAATTGGTTCAACGAAAAATGCAAAAGAATTTATGCAGAAGCTCTGTATCACCTATGCTGAGATGCATGAGAATAATCTGGGTACATACACTGTCTTATAACACATCTTTCCCACAGCAGAGAAAGTTGCAGGCAAGTTTCCTAACAGATTTTGAACTCACATTAATTCAAATCTTCTCCTACTTACAGCCACATTTTCCTTCAAACCGCTCATGATAAGGATTAAAACCCTTCACTGAAAAATTAAAACATTCCTGTCTAACTATGGCCTTACTCTACAAAAACATTTGTACACACTGCCCACTAAGTAACAAATATTGATGGTATGCCCTTACTTTGCAAGATCCACCTTCAGGACACAAAACACTGCGGAATTGATACCTCAGGTCTTCAGATCAGAATGATAACACCAACTTCAGGCTAGGAGACAAGTTCACACATACCATCACTTCAGGAAGGCTGTCTTGCTTCCAGTTCCAGAGACAGCTCATACAGTACTGCTTTATGGGGTCTTTGCAACCTTCTGCATTGCGCACATCAGATATATTTTTTGACATCTCAGTTCCTTGAAAAACAAGCCTGGTCACAGCTTAACAACTAGGTTTAACAGAGTGGCATCTCTTTTATATGGAGAAAGACTTCTTCCAGAAGTATGATACATATAATCTGGCTGGCCCTTGGCAAGTTTACCAGCATCACCTAGCTGAAAATTCAGGTTTCAGCGCAAAGTAGGCACGTAACTCTTCAGCATTATAAAGGCCAAGGCACTTCTGAACACAAACAGAAGCAAAAATGCAAGCAGTTCAATAAATAAACACATAAAAGATACCTATAGATTACAGATTGTTATGGCATTTTTAAGACACTATTCCTCACACTCCTGGATTTAAGTGCCTAGAGTTGGACTTCAGTAAGGTAATGCTCGAGTCTTCTTGCTCATCTGACTGTTGGAGCAGTAACACTGTAAGCAGTTAAAAACCCCAGGTATCTACATGAACATTTGTGCAGCTTGTTTGTATGCACAATCATTTATTGTTCCCACAGCTATAAGCACTTGAACAACTGGTTCTTCACATCAGCTCTATATTATTCCAGTAATCAAGGGCACATTTAAGAATGTTAGTGCATACATACTGAACAGCTTCTGCACCTCTTCAGAAATTAGGTATGAAAGTCTTGTATCAACTTAAGTAACTGTAACTAATCTGAACCAGAATTTATTAACCTAATCTTGCAGTCAAACAATGTACCATCTGTGTATACATTTCATTTTGATATGTATATAACAACAATTTAATGAACAGGGTTTACTAGAGAAAGAAAAAAAACAACAGTAAGAAAACTCCAA